GTGGCACAATTGGCAATGGTAAATAAACTCGTGGTCAAATAAAATTTGACCACGATTGATAACTAATAAATAGAAAAAATACAGCTAGGCAGAAACGTCTACAAAGGAATTCCCGATTGAATAGAAGGATATATGAAGAAAATCTAAAAAAAACGAGAGAAATGTTAAATAGAAAATACAACAAATTACAGGCTATAATAACAGAAGAGAGATTAGTAAATTTTACAAGAAAACCAAGTGATACACTCAAGGCACATACCATAAACAACACTGAACAAAAACGGAGCAATTATCAGCGAGAAAGAGGAATTAATGAAAAGGTGGAAGGAGCATTTTCAAGAGCTATTAAACTCAGAAAAAGAACAAAACCAAGAAGAAGAAAATAATTCACGATACAGTAGAACAACTAGGAACTAACATTGAAAGAAACAATATACGTCATAAAACATCTGAAAAATAACAAAGCGCCTGGCAAAGATGAAATAATTGCAGAACTGATAAATAATGGTGGACATGTGCTATGGAAGCATATCCATAAACTAATCGGTCGCATATGGACATTAGAGTGATCCGAGAGGATTGGAAAGTAGGAATCATATTTCCTATTTACAAGGGAGGAGACGAACGATTCTGAGAAAATTTTAGGGGCATACCAGTGTTAAATGTCACCTAAAAGATATCAGGAATTATATACAACCGTGTTGAATCACTTTTCGAAAGAAATAATTGGTGAATACCAATGTGGTTTCAGACCAGAGAGGTCAACTATAGACCAAATACAAAATTATATAAGAGGTATACATGAAAAATGTGGTGACTTTAAAGTTCTTCTTCTTAGAGTGCCGTCTCCCTACGGAGATTGGCAATCATAATGGCTATTTTTTTCTCTTACGATCTGCATTGATACCAATCACGTAGATACTTTAACCATGAGTTCTGCCTTCGGCCAACAGATCTTCTTCCTTGAATCTTTCCCTGTATTATCTCAAGAGTCTCAAAATTTCATATTTTGGTCCCCTCATCACGTGGCCTAGGTATTCCAGTTTTATGGTTTGTATAGTGGTGATTAATTCTCTTTCTTTACCAACCCTCTCCAGTACTTCTTTATTTGTAATTCTATCAGTCCATGATATTTTCAATATTCTGCGGTATAACCAGAGTTCGAAGGCCTCGATTCTTTTTAAATTACATTTTTTTTAATGTCCAAGTCTCAGCTCCATATAATAATATTGAAAATATATAACAGCGAATGGTACGTAGTCTGATCTCTAAATTTAGATTTTTGCACGTTAGGAGTGGCTTCATTCGTATAAATGCTGATCTGGCAATCTCTATTCGCCTGTTTATTTCTAAGTATGATCATTGGTTTCATTGATCAAAGTTCCCAAGTACTGATATGTTTCTACTTGTTCTATCACGTTACCATTGATTGTCAATAGGTGATGTATATTTTGTGGTCTTTTGTAATTAGCATGTACTTCATTTTTTTAGCGTTTATAGTAATTCCCATCTCACCACTATTCATACTCAAGCTTTCGATAAGATGTTGTAGATCCTGTATACTAGTTGCTATGATCACAGTGTCGTCTGCATATCTTAAGTTGTTAATTAATCTTCCGTTAACGGTGACTCCCGCTTCGATATTTTTGAGAGTGTTTTGGAAAATCTCTTCAGAATATAAGTTAAACAAAAGTGGTGATAAAACACATCCCTGTCTAACTCCTCTAGAGATCCTCATTTCTTTTGAGTGTTGCCCATCAATTAGAACTATGGCACTTTGGTTCCAATATAATGTTTGCATTATATTTATGATTTTACTGTCAATGAGCTTGTTCATTCTTCTTCTTCCTTCTAGTATATAGGCTTTAAAGCCTGTTTCTTCTTCGATATTAGCCTCATAAATTGTCGCACCATCTTTTTCTTGGTCTGCCAATACTTCTTCGTCCAGTTGGTAACTTATCTCTTGCTATTCGTACTATTCTATCCTCCGCAATTCTACTGATGTGTTTGTTCCACTTTTGTTTTCGTTTTGTCACCTATCTCCGCCGTGTATGTTAATATAGGTCTAATTGCTGCTTTATAGATTCTTGTTTTTGTGTCTTGTCTTAGGTGTTTGTTCTTCCAGATTGTGTCATTAAGGGAACCCTCCGCTTTACTTGCTTTTAAGCTTTGTTGTCGTAGTTCTTCTTCAACATCTCCGTAACTAGTTATATCTATTCCCAAATATCTAAACCTTGCTTCCTGCTTTATTATTTTCCCATCAATTTCGATTTGACACCGTAGTGGGTATTTAGATGTTGTCATACATTTGGTTTTGTCTGCTGATATTATCATATTGTATTTCTTAGCTGTTATATTGAAGATAGGTGTTAATCTTTGGAGCTCGTCTTCTGTCTCGGCGATTAATGCGGCGTCGTCTGCATAACATAATATTTGGATTTCTTTGTTCCCCATTCTGTAGCCATGACCTTTACGTACTGCTTGTATTATTTCGTCCATTATTATATTGAAGAGAAGTAGGCTCAACGGGTCACCCTGTCTGACTCCGCTTTGTACTGGTATGCACTGTGTTAGTTTTCCATTTATCTTTGCCTGTATTTGATTTTGGAGGTAGATGTTTTCGATGGTTTGTATAATATTGATTGGTATGTTTCTTTTATACAATAGGTGTAAGACGTCTTCGACTGCGATAGAAAGCCTTTGTCAGGTCTATAAAACATAGATATGCTGGTTTATTGTACTCGATGGCCTTTTCTGTGATTTGTCTTCGAGTACAAATACGGCGTCTATGCAGAATCTTCCGGATCTGAATCCCTGTTGTTCATCTGATAAAGTTGTTAGTTTATTGATTTTATTGGTTAGGACTTTTATGGTAAGCTTAAGTGCGGTGTTCAGTAGATTTATACCTCTATAATTGGTCTTCTTTATCTCCTTTCATGTACATTGGTATCATTATGCTGTTTCATGTTATTAGTTTTTCATGTCTTACTTTATCGAAAGCTTTTTTGTAGTCAACGAAGCACAAGTGTAGATTAACATTTACATCCCGACATCGCTGAATCAATATGTTGATGGCAAATAGTCCTTCTCGAGTACCCATTCCATTTCGGAACCCGAACTGCGTCTCGCTAATATCCTCCTCTAGCCTTTCGTATATTCTCTTATATATTATTTTTAGCAGAACTTTTAAAGTATGACTCATGAGGCTCAGTGTTCAATAATCAGAGCACTCTTTTGCTGCTTGTTTTTTAGGGATGGTTATAAATGCTGACTTCAACCACTCTTGTGGTATTATTCCCGTATCGTACACCGTGTTGAATAAATCTTCCAATACTTCCAAGTTATCTTCTTCCAATATTGTGTTTAGAGTTTTTGATAGCATATTTGATTTCATCTATCGTGATCTTCTGTCTCTCTAAAGGATTTAATTCATGCCTTTTTTGCATTTCACCTCTTTTATCTTGGAAAAGTTCTCTAACGTACTCCTCCCATCGCCTTAACTTCTCTGGTAAATCTATTAGTAGTACTCCTTTTTTATCTTTTATGTGCCCTTGCTGTCTATTTCGATCCATTAAAGTCACTTCTCTAATTTTTTTGTGCATATTGAATATAACATACCAATTTACAACTTATATATTGATTTCAAACAGTCGTTTGAAAGTTAAAAAAGTTAGTTAAACCTATACAAAGGAGACTTTGGAGGGTTCTAAGACTATGGAGAATAGATGGAGATATAACAGAGGCATTTGATATTGAAAATGGAGTTAGGCAATGTGTTGCCTTATCGATAAGAATTTTTAATCTAACTAAGGAAACTATTATCAGAAAACTAGATATGAGTGGCTGTATTAATTCAAGATCCACTCAAATTTGCGCATATGCAGATGATATTACCATAATAACCGAGAGAGCAAGATATTTGAAACGAAAAGCTGCTGCATTTGGTCTAAATATCAATGAAAGGAAAATAAAATATATGGAGTGCACAAAATCGAATCGACATAAGAATCTGAAAGTAGACAAACATACCTAGTAATATGCCTTCACCTTTCCCTACCTAGGCTCAATAATAAATGTCAGCAACAACGTCAGTCAAGAAATACAAGCACGGATTTTTGGCGGTAATGAGTTACTGAATCGTGAGTCTAAGCTTAGAATCTACAAAACAAGAATTAGACCAGTGGTCACAAATTGATGTGAAACGTGAACTCTTTCAACCAATGATAAAAATAAATCAATTGAGAATATTTGAGCGCAAAATATTTAGAAAGACGTTTGGACCAACCTATTGTAGCGATGGTTCGTGGAGAATAAAAATGAACTATGAGCTGAATGAATTAATGTAGAGCGCAAATATCCTTATATTTGTAAAATCACAAAGACTAAACTGGTTTGGCCACTTAGAAAGAATGAAACCACACGCAAATAGGACAAGAGAAAGGCCCTGTAAAACGTGGATACACGATGTAGAGGAAAATCTTAAAACCATGAACATCAGGCAGTGGTGAAGGAAAGTATCTAACTGGGCAGAATGAAACAACGTAGTTAAGCACGACAAGACCCACAAAGGGTTGCAGCACCATTAGAAGAAGAAGTTGTGTGGCAGTTATTGTTTTTAAATTTAATTGGTGACTTACTTAGTCTCGATCTTGTAGGCATATAGCCCGTCTATTCAGTTGTGTCGAGTAAGAATCTAACTTAATTGGCCTAATTGTGATTCTATCAATTAACAGGTCTTCAAATTCTGTGAATTCTGACACATGGTTTGCTATAATATGGCGAGTGATACTGTGAGATATTTGACACCGCCTTTGTTTTCTTCCAGAAAACGAGTATATTAGATGTTTATACAAAATTATTGAATTGCCGTTATATGAGGTATAAATTCCAAAATAATGACATGTTTCTATTGGTGCATTATGAATAAGAAATACATCAGCTGGAACGATTAAATAACAGCAAAACAAATGTCCGCCCAAACAAAATAAAATTGTACTTACATAGTTTATTTGAATAATTTTCTTTTCAGTCTGTGGTGAAAATGTCCATCTTGATGTAGAATGTCCTATATTAATACTGTATCTCTCTTTGGCTTTTATAAGTAGAAAAACTTTTGATAACTTTTGGGCTCGATCTGGCTTTTTTAAATACTGTAGGTCATTTCCTCTGTACAAGCTTGCAATATTGGAAATAATATTAGTACTGTCCACATTATGGAAATACGGTAACCAATTTGTAGTGAAAACATTGCCCTAAAAGAAAAAATATATTTTCTTGTTTCAGATTACATTTTAAAGACGAAAGGTTAAAATAGTACTCGGCGACCTAAGGATGGTGGAAAACGCGGATAGTTGTAACACTTTGAATATTAAAAGTTAACGACGACTAACGAAATAAAAACTGAATGACTGGCCTATAATCTATTCACTGAACTTAGAACAACCCAACTGACTACTAAATCTAGTGACTAATTTTGTGCTATGAAGTAACCCTTTTTGTTATAAAATTATAATGACTAAGGAACAATTGCACCTAACATTGACAAGATTAAGCGTACTCCCAGGCCAAATGGCTACAAGACGTACACTATACAGAAAATATTACAGCTACGTCAACAACAAAATTAGGGACAACAAAAATAGGGATCAACGGGAACAATAGTCATCATTAATCATAATGTAGCCCTAGGCGAGTCTCAACCTTCTTTTGTTTCGCAAATCGTTCCTGTTCATTGCCAACCTTTGTCAGTTTGCCGCTCCAACTTTCCTTGCTTCCTCAGCTACATCTTCCCACCTCAATCTTGCGATCTGTTATTTCGTATAAAGCTCAAAGTAATATTGCACTAAATATTTGTTAGATGGGATAATTATACGATTATGCCGATAGAATAAGTGCCTTATATATTATTAGTTTGATAGATATCTGTATAAAAATCTGTATAAAGAATGCCAAAACCTTATACAAAGCAGGAAAAATTCAAAATGCAATGCAGAAGATGAAGAGAAAGCATATTGAAATCATTTATATTGTCGAAATAAGATGGCCTGATTCTGTAGAAACACAAGTGGAAGATCACAAGATAAATAGCCCAGTCTGGTTAAAAAAAAAGGTGGAAAAATGTTTCGCAGATATTTGAAGCTTTTAAGACATAGGTGGGGGTTACTAGATGACGAATAGATAAAAAGATACTCCTAGTTTTACGTTGCGTTTTTTTTTAAACAACAATTTATGGTCAAAATTTGATTTTTTATCTATAAGTTTTTTCCCTTACAATTTAAATAAACAATATTTATACCATTTTTTTATGTCAAGAATATCTTTATTTTTCCGTTTTTTCAATTAAAATTGATTTATAATTTGCGGAGATATTTGCAAAAAAGCAGTTTTTTTGCACTAATTTATAAATTTAATTAATTTTTTTATTAACAAAATAAAATGTTATTAATACATTTTAACATGGAGGAATTACCGTCCTTTAAATTTGTGCGAAATTTCACCCCGATCGGTCAAATAGTTTAAAAGTTATTCAATTTGTTTATCCCTGGGACTAATTATTTAAACCATTGAGCTTGCCCTATGCATGATGCTAGACACATTTAGCAAATTTCATAAGATTGTTTAAGACTTAGACTATCTCAGAAGTTAAAGGCATATTGAGTTTTCATCGAAATTATTTACAAAATAAACGTTTGAAAAAGGGGTATGTTTTTTACTTATAAACAATTGTAATAACTTCTATATTTTTTAAGCTACAGACTTGTACGTACAACCATTGGATAGCTGGTAATAAAGCTCACATTAAAAAATAAAAAACCTTCTATGACCAATAGGAACGAAGTTAGCGACTATTTTTAAAAAAATCATATCTCCATTGTTTATAAACATTAAGAAGTAAAATTTGCACAAATTTTGAATGAAAATCTAAACTTTATATTGAAAGTTATAGCTATAAAATGTATCTCTTTTTTTATAAATATTAATAACTACATAGTTTTCACTGGCCGGAAAATATGGGAAAACTCGGAAAAATTGAGTCTATTTGAAATTCACGCTAAATACTTACTTTTTTTAATTTGCTCGAATAGTCTGTCGCAGTATTAATAATGATGACATAATTTTCACCCCCATAAATCTCGGAAAATCCCGGAAAATCAACATATGTTTTTTCATTTTATATCAATGATGCTTACTGCTTTGATAAAATAAGTCGATTTTTTCATCACTTGCCTTATTACATTTTGCAATGTTTATTGAACTTTACTTTTTTTTATTTTCTTTACATACATTGGTTTAAAAGTTAAAATTTGGTTCATTTATTCGACTTCACTGTCAGCTCTGAACCTTTTTGTTGCACGTTGTTTGTCTTCACTTATTAAGCAAGTCTATACATATACTTCTTCAGAATCACTGTCGTCATCAAACGTAACTGTACCGAGGTTGCAGCATATTTTCTCCTCTTCTTCTTCCTCAGTACAATTTATACACAAGTTCGTACAATTTAAACCACGTTTTCTGCACCCACATCTAGTAGTTTTGCAACCTGTGGTGCATTTGCATGTAATGTGCTTTAATGTCTCTTCGGGAATTAAATTATCCAAAGTATAAATTGGTTCAAAACCAGTGGCAGTTTGTCTCCAACCATAGGCACAAGCATCTAACTTATTACCTAACCACATTTGTAATTGATAGTAAACCCGAAGAACATGCTGTTTGGCTGCACCTTCAGTTGGTGGCAGAGTTTCTAGTTTAAAAGATGATTTACCGATATTTCTGTTAAATTGTAAGTATCTTAAATTATTTAAAGAAAGTGTATTGTTGTGTTTTTTTTTATAATTTATATCAACTGCAGTAGAGTATAGAACCACAATCACCTCACAACCAATTTTCATTATATTTTCTTTACTTGCTCTGGAATCGTAGAAAATATCCATGAAACTAAGAGTTTCTTCGTTTGCATTGATTAATTTAAATTTCCCCTGATTATAAAAGCATGAGGTGGTATCACATCCAGTAAAAATGTACAAAAAGCCGACGTACTTTCTTAAATGAGGGTGTTGAAAACTGTTACAGCCATAAAGTGTGGATTTATCCTTCTCGCCTTTCTTCTCAAAAAATATATTCATATCTGAAGAAGAAAGTTGAGTCATAATCACGAGTAAGTCAGTGTCATTACCTATTATTACTGTACTCAATCATAACATAATTTGCATAACAATAATTTAGCCATTTATAAAACAAAACTTACAAAGGAAAATACTTACTATGATACTACTACTGCTGGAATAAGTTATTGCCACAGTCTGCTGTTTATTTTAAAATAATCTATAATAAATAATATTTTTCACTAATTATACAAGTTGAAAATAATTAATTATTCATTCAATAGTTTTAAATATTACTTACAATTTTCAATCAAAAAGTAATTAAATACGTTTAGTTAAAACTTTTTTGTTAAGCAAAAACACACACAAAATAATTTACTCAAAAATTATTGCTAAATAAGTATATTGCTTTCTAAAGCCACCACACTGAGACTGACGAAATTTTGCAGCGATGTGCTAAGACAGTTTCCCCTCCACTTTCCTATGTAGATCTTTCGAAAGTAACTTTATTTCAAAAGGCTTTAAATTTCGAAAAATTGAATGAATTTTATAGCTATAAAATTCAATATTAAGTTTAGATTTTCATTCAATATTTGTGCAAATTTTACTTCTTAATGTTTATAAACAACGGAGATATAATTAACAAAAAAATTGTCGCTAACTTCGTTCCTATTGTTCATAGAAGGTTAATTTTTTTTGTTAAATGTGAGTTTTTTTACCAGCTACACAATGGTTGTACGTACAAGTATGTAGCTTGAAAAATAAAGAAGTTATTACAATTGTTTATAAGTAAAAAACATACCCCTTTTTCAAACGTTTATTTTGTAAATAATTTCGATGAAAACTCAATATGCATTTAACTTCTGAAATAGTATAAGTCTTAAAGAATCCTATGAAATTTGTTAAATGTGTCTAGTGTCATTCATAGGGCAAGCTCAATGGTTTAAATAATTAGTCCCAGGGATAAACAAATTGAATAACTTTTAAACTATTTGACCGATCGGGGTGAAATTTCGCACAAATTTAAAGGACGGTAATTCCTCCATGTTAAAATGTATTAATAACATTTTATTTTGTTAATAAAAAAATTAATTAAATTTATAAATTAGTGCAAAAAAACTGCTTTCTGACAAATATCTCCGCAAATTATAAATCAATTTTAATTGAAAAAACGGGAAAATAAAGATATTCTTGATATAAAAAAATGGTATAAATATTGTTTATTTAAATTATAAGGGAAAAAACTTATAGATAAAAAATCAAATTTTGACCATAAATTGTTGTTTAAAAAAAACGCAACGCAAAACTAGGAGTATCTTTTTATCTATTCGTCATCTAGTAACCCCCACCTATGTCTTAAAAGCTTCAAATATCTGCGAAACATTTTGCCGTGAAATCGATGATTTTTGTATAACCAGACTGGGCTAAAACTACTCGAATCAATATGATGGATCATATGAATATTGAATCGGAATAACTGTATCACCCAAGGTTGACAAATGCGTTACTAACTTTACAATATTACAGAGAGTGATGTTACTGCAAGTAACATCACTACGAGCTAACCCCATCAATATAAATATCTAAGTTTACGGTCCCATCGTAGACAAAGAGGAGGAAGAAGCAATTGTGTTTTATCAGAAAATCAACAGAATCATACAAGTTCTCATTATTATGGGATGATTTTGCTGCCAAGCAAAAACAAGATTCCGAAACAGCTTAACATCTGTCAAGACTTATCCGGAAGCTGACTTAGAGACGGGCCACGTTCCACTAATGGAAATATTCCGATTCAAACTCAAAAAAGTGCAAAAAATAAATCACAGCCATACGATATACGTATGCTGAAAGACCTTTAGGCCCGGCGCAAATTGAGCACAGCCCACGCACATCCCACGCGCAGTCCACGCGTGGGTTATTTTGTAAAACGTGGTTTTAGACGGAGCGACGCATATTAAACCCAAACCACGGCCAGGCTACTGCCAGACTTGGTTGGCGTGGATAGAGTTGTGCTAGCAACACAGTTTCGTGGGTCTCTACCTAACCTTAGTTATTTTGTTTTTTGTGACAAATTTTTTGTTATTCAGTGAAAATGGAAAGTTTATTGAAATTGTTCGAAGCTTTAGTGTTTTGTATGATACTAATAATGAAGATTACATGAGAACAATACTAATATTTTCTTTATTTGTGCTAAGCGAATCGGATGTAAGTCGCCGTTATAATTATTCAAAAAAAAATTAATTTAAATTAATTTTTTATTAAATCAAATGAGAAATATAACAAATCGAGGACTAAAAAAAAAACAAATTTCCTAGCAAAATGTTTATGAACACCTAAGATGAAAACTTCAAAATAAAATTTGATGGTACTTTTTCGTGATGCTCATATTGTAATGGCTTTTATACACTGAAATTAAATTAAAAAAGAACATGAAGAAAATAGAAAAATAATAAAAAATTCTCAAATTTAAATTTATCTCGTTTTATATATAGTTAAACATTTTTCAAGATATTTATATTTTCAGATTAGAAATTGTTAGTGGAATATTAGGTAAAAATTAAAAGGTCTAGAAAATAAAATCTTTATTTAAACTAATATACTGAAGACAGTCTATCTTTTCGTTGAATTGTATTTGCGAAAACAATATCCTATGCATAGTCCAGATTTTTCGTCACAATCAGCACACTCGTAAATTGTGTTTTTCCTAATTTTATGGATAGAACATATTCTACACAAATATTTGACATGGGCGTGGGCTGTGTTCAATATGCGTTAGTATTGAAAAACGTGTACTTGGACTAGGTTGGACCATACGTGGGCTGCGCGTGGGCTGTGCTCAATTTGCGCCGGGCCTAATATTGTAACGAAATAGCCCATCTCCGATGAGGGGTACGCATTGGCATTTCAATAACGCATGTCTTCGATGCGTTTTCGATGAGACGAATTAGAGGTGGACTACTCCAGAATATTCTAGTACATAATAACTTCGTAAGTGAATGGGATGTTTTCGGTCAATTTGGAGATAAAAAAGACAAGAGTTGTGCTACTTTATGAAGAATTGTTAAGTTTCTTCTTCAGTTTCTTTTATTATATCATAATTTTAGTATTATTTCGTAAATTGGACAAGTGTCTCAGTTTATACTCAGCCAGATACTTATTTATTTTTTCTGACGTTTTTATACTTCATTTCGCATGTTATGGTTATAACAGTCTAGAACCCTGAGCCTTGCCGTTGTTAATATAATATTTCAAAATTGACAATTACATTTTTTGATAGATTTTATAATCAATCAATGTTATCAAAAGTTAAATTAAAAAATTAATATAAAATTACATAAATTGGGAATCTTCCGGTGTTCTGTGATTCCGTTTTGTTGCTGATTTATATATTAGATTAATGTTTGCCTTATTTTGATGTTTCTTCAATTTAATAACATTTTTATGCTACAGATCTTTTAAAGGTAAGATTATTTACTTAATTGTTTCTCATATTAGCTGTATCGATAATAATACTCTTTTAGATTAACTGATGACTGATCATAAAACAGTGGGCGAAACGTCTTCAATAAATAAATGAAGTAGCACAATTCTTGTCTTTTTTATCTCCATATTGACCGAAAATATCCCTGCACTTTTTTTATATTAAATTAAACGGTCATACCGCTTACATTACTATTAAACGTATATAAATTATTATTACATTAAACGTATATATATATATATATATGTATATATATATATATATATATATATATATATATATATATATATATATATATATATATATATATATATATATATAATATCGGGAAAAGGAGTACGACCGTCAATCTAATATAAATTAAGGCGTCACTCGGTGGAGTGGTGTTTGAATACCAAAGATAAAATACCTTTGGGCTAGAAGAGAAGGTAAATGATGACCAAAAATATTGCAGCAGGAACTTCTTCTGCAATAAAACAGCTACAACATGGCAAAGCAGCAGGCCTCGATAATATACAAGCAGAACTACTCAACCTAGACCACGTGATGAGAGGACCAAAATAAGAAATTTTGAGACTCATAACACAGAGAAAGATTCAAGTAAGAAGATCTGTTGGTCGAAGGCAGAATTCTTCCTTGAAGAATCTATGTGAAGGAGAACTACTCAAACTAATGGACAACGAATCAATGGCAATAATCACAAAGATACTCAACAACATAAAGGGAAAAATAACAACAGTTTGGCTGAATTCTGAGTTAATTGCACTTCAAAAAAAGTCGGGAGCCAAGAAATGCGAAGAATACCATACGATAAGCCTATCGCATAATCATCTCCATGATGAAAATTATTCCCAAAGATAATCCATAAGAGAATTTAGAAGCTGTGTGAAAGTCAAATTCCCCCTAACCAGTTCGGGTTCATAAAAGCTGTTGGTACGAGAGACACTTTGTTTTCAATATAAGTCTTATTTCACAGATGCAGACGTCAACTGCGATGCCTACGTTTGTCTGGTTGATTACGAAAAAGGTCTTACTTGTAAGGTCAAATAATAGAACAAGTGATCGAATTTAAATATCTAGGCAGCACACTATCTAGCTACAGAAAGCTCTAAACATAAGTGGAAGATCAAGTGAATAGAGAACAGGGCCGCGGGTTGCCTGAATGAAAAAAATTGGAGAAATTAAAATATCCGGAAAGAAATGAAAGGCAGAATTTACAAAACAGTCATCAGAATGTTAGAAACAGCAGAGATAACTCTTAGAAAAGTTGATGGTAAGACACTATGGGACAGAGCTAGAAGTACAGATGTACGATGTAGATGCAAGGTGTAGAAAATCAAGGACTAAGTAAGAAATAGAAGGGTAGAATGGAACTATCATATAAGCCGAATAATAACAAATAGAGTAGTAAAGACGGCGAGAGACGATTTTCCAATAGAAAGACTATCAGTAGGAAGTCCACGAAAACGATGGATCGACAACTTGCTGGAGGCACATTGAAAAACAGACAGTCATGTCTACATAAAAAAGAAAAGGAATCAATTGCAATAATTTGTTTGTCGCTTACTAAGTTACTACGTGATGAACTGAAAGATTTTTGCTTACTGTACTGTTGACCAGCCAAAACAATAATAATAAAACACTTTGTTGGGACTTCTCACAACAGGAACACAATCTAAGCCTAAGGATTAACAGTCCTTATCGGTCTTATTTATTCGCAAACACACCACAAGACACAAAATATAATTCAGTTTCTAAACAGCATTCCAAAATTATTTCAACAAAAAAATTATTATTATTATTATTATTAATTATTTCAAAAAAAAGTTTCCAACAGAGGCTTCATCAAAACTATTTGTAGAATAAGAAGCAATCATTGTATGACTCCAGTCTACAAAAGAAAAATGGGACTGGCAAATAATAATGAATGTATATGTGGAGAGCTAGCTGATCTACAACATATGCTGTTAGAATGTCCTTTACATTTTATTGAAATATCAAATTTTTTTACCAAGCTAGTTCAAGTTAATGTTCAATTACCTTCTAATCTAACACATCTTTTATAGTCAAAGAATCTAGATGCATAAAAAATTTTATATAGTCATATTAATTGTTTAAAATTAAAGCTCTGATAAAAAAAATAATAAAGAATAAAAAAAATGAAGAACAAAATAAAAAAAATACTAAGAAGATCTAAACCTCCGAGGTGTCGAATCGGGTTTATGTCTTAGCGTAGTAATAAAAAAAATAAATAAAAAAATAAATAAAAAAAAATAAATAAAAAATAAAAAAAAATAAATAAAAAAAATAAAAAAAAGGTACAAAAAACAAAACAGCAAAAACAGAGTAATCTAGTAAATAAGTTTCTAACATTCCATGTCTTAACTGTCAATACAATACAATAGTTTTAAATGTAAATACTAACAATATCTTTTGTAAAGAGAGAACTTAAAACAAATTGACTGGCCAGTTGGTTGTCAAAACCAGTGCCAATAAAACACACACACACACACAAAATTATTTTAGAAGAATTATAAAGAAAGCTATTAGAATAGAGGTAGGTATAAGGGAGTTTAAATAAGAGTCAATTTTCCCAAACTCCATATAACATGGAAAGCATTAGTTAAAACTCTAGTAATCCACATTAGAACAACAAAATAGCAAAACAAACGACTAAACAAACGATAAAGTGGGCGGGACCAACAGTAACTGTAAGACCAATGAGAGAACATGAATTTTTTATACATAAATTATTACAATTTTACACCATAAATCAAAAAGGGCATTACTATAAATAATAAATATCTTTATTAAATCCTACTTAAATTCTTTGACAATTTCATGATAAGTGATAGGTATTATAAGAACTACAATTAGATTTACCTGTTGATTTTCGCAAAAAGTCATCTTATTATCCTTTTCTTCCTGTGCCGGTAGAGCACATGCGGTGTCGTACGACCACTGTGACTGATTGCGAATAGTTGTTTGAGGGTAAAAATATCTTGGTTGTTGACCAATCCGAACTGGAATTTTTAATTCGGCTGACAGTTCTTCGATTTCGAGAACTTCTTTCAAACAACCCACAATGATGTCGTCATTGCTTGAAAAGTTATGACACTGCGGATTTGTTACAACTTTCTGGTATAGAGTGTTGATAAGCCTAGCGAGTTCTTTAAATATAAATCCATATTCTATTTTAATATATGTCCCTAGAACTCCTTTAGATAATAAACTGATCTAAAAATGTAAATAATACAGTTAATTGAAAAACACTAAAACTTTTAAAATTGGATATTAATTATTTTTTTATATGCCTATTGTATTTTTTAATATATAAGATTTTAACAGTTAAACTTTATGTACAGGTATGGAAAAAAATATCTGACTGACTATAAGGCATTAAGACAACGCAACTAAATGAGAAAAAATATTTGAGAATTATCAAGTAAAATTTTATCCTTCCGTTATTTTGACACGTAAACACTATTTTTTACGGTATAATTTTTAACGGATATGTAATTTTAGTGTTATCAAATGGTCGAATCGGTGCTTCACGTTAATAGTTGGCAGCTGTCAGTCAAATGTCGTATGTGACAGTAAAATAATTAATGTCTTTTTTAGTGTTTGTTTTTTGTTTTATGTTTTCTTTCACCCAAGATATATATTTTGTCTGGTTTTGTACATTTTGGGTTTCAAATTTTTTCTATAGAAATATGGAAGACATCTTAGAACGGGCAATAATTAGTTGAAGTAAATGACGAAGGTATATAAGATTTAATACTAAATCATATTTTAAATGATAACATACAAAATGTACATTCTGTGCTCAATTTTGATAACATAGAGCCTGAGAAAGCCAAACAGTATTTTCGGTTTGAAAAATAGGACATTCCTAGGCTTGCAGAATTATTAGGGATACAAGATACAATCGAAAGGAACTACAAATTGAAATAACCAACAAATTGCATATTATAGGCACAGTATTCCCACTCCACTTTGGCGCTAAATTTCGCGCAATTTTACTCGCGCAGACAGCAACGCCATTTTCGTCCGAAAAATTTAACGGCTCTCATTGGTCATTGGCATTGTCTTTTGTCATAGATAAAACGAATAGTATATTTTTATAATAACCTGTGGTATTCATTGATACGGATTATCAGAGTGATAAAGATATAATGGAACAAAATTTTATAACATATGTGTGTGGGTATTTAATGAAAAAATGTTTAGAATTCCATAGTTGTGCAATAAACCTCTAGTTCTAATATTTATCGATTTTCACAAAGCCTTTGACACAGTTGAGCTAAGCAAAATATTACAGGCGCTTAAAGAATGCAGAAAATGTAGGTTTAAATATAAATATCTCGAAAACAAAAATCATGACCAATTTGGTGCCCAACCAGAACATCACTATTGGTGGGAAAGAAATAGAACACGTAGATAGATATAAATACCTGGGACATGAAATTATGATTGGCAGAGATAACCAGACTCATGAACTGAAGAGAAGAGTCGGCCTTGGGTGGACAGCATTTGGAAAACTGAGAGAAACTTTTAAAAGTGAGCTGCCCACATACCTAAAGAGAAAGGTATTTGATCAGTGCGTCCTCCCAGTCTTGACGTACGGAGCAGAAACACTTACCTTAACAAAAGAAGCAGCTACCAAACTGAGAGTCACGCAGAGAAGAATGGAGCGGTCCATGTTAGGAATAACTCTCCGAGACAGAATAACAAACGAAGACATCAGGAGAGAACCGGAGTGACTGACATCATCGAGAAGATAGCCAGACTAAAATGGAGATGGGCAGGAAACATAGCCAGAATGACAGATGGGCGATGGACAAAGAGGTTATTGGAATGGAGGCCAAGGGAAGACAAGAGAAGCGTCGGTCAACCATCTACAAGATGGACTGACGATTTAAGAAGACTCAATAAAAACTGGATAAGAGCGGCGCAAGATAGACGGGGTTGGAAACATGAGGAAGAGGCCTATGTTCAGCAGTGGACTCTTGAGGCTGGATGATGATGATCTAATTTGTCAGATACTACTGTATATTCATATTTTAGGGCATATGAAAACAGAACCGGTGACACATTTGGTAATCTAAAAATGCCTACTGGTGATTTTGTTAACTTTATTAGTATACTTGACTCTCTTTCACAAGAATTTTGACAAATTAGCTGTACAGCCGAATATTACTAAAACATATGTTTCTCTATTTAGTACCATATATTTTAGCCACCCTTGTGAAGAATTTCCACTAAAATATTGTATAACTTTATTTAGCCGTGTACGTTTGTACTATTCATTAAAATTCATGAAGAGAAATTTCAAGATTCACAAACATGAAAATAAAACGAAAAGAAAATATAATAGATTGATTATATGGAGACATCAATAAAAAATTATTTACTTGTTTATAACAATATCACAAGTCAAAATACCCTTTTTTATTACAATGAACAGATAATGTCAATCAATAATTATTATACCCATTTAGGAGTTTTCTTCACATCCTCTTGTGTTTTTAGTGAGATGTAACTAAAATATTTTATCATATTCCATTAAAATGTATTAGAGCGTTACTTCTAATGAATTAATAATTAATTATATTGACATTAATCAAGGTCAAGTAAACAACAATGTAAAATAATATTCAAAATCATGTTTGAACAAAAGCAATTGTTTATAGAATAATCCATACTCCTGAATTGCTTTAGCTAATTTCTTTTCATATTCCTTCCCGTTCACTGCGTCAGAATTTACATTTCCATGTATCTCATCGCAGAATTAATTATGGTTCAAATATAGGCATGATCTGACTTCTCATACATGCAAATCGGTGCTCATGAGATAGAATTTTTTTAACTTCTGAAATTTTAAACTACAAAATGATACTTTGTAAACTTAATGTGTACTTATTTTATACATGTATATTTAATTTTTATCTGTAATTGTATTTATCTACAATTTATTTTTGTATAATTTTGACAGAGGGTCTGTCACCTTTGATATTAATAAATAAATGTAATATCTAATGTAATATATAATAATAAATGAAAATCATTTAAAAATTTATTTTTTATTTCCACAAATACATTCTTAACATTAACAGGATGACGCTACTTTTATCACTTTGTACGATTCCGTTAGACATATAATGTACATCAACAAGGATTGTAAGAAAAAACTCAAAGAAAATTGTGTTATGAAGTACAGTTATGAAATTATGGAAGAAAAACCATTATTTAAATTAAAAATTCAGACGTTACATTCTACAGAAAAGAAATGTGTCGATAATGTGATAATTGAAGACTATATGGCACTTACATCTAAATTTTGTCCTTCGTTAAATTTAGCTAATTTCATAAATGTTTAAATTTTACAGTCTAGAAAAAAAAAGCAAGGTAGAAGATTCAGTAATCAGTTTAAACAGGATGTCTCGTAATGTACTTCAAGGGGCCAAAAGTTTTACAAAAATGTTTTGTGTAACAAATTTTGTTTAAATTTTAAAAATAATATACCAGACAGCTACTCAAAAAGTGTAACTAATTTGTAGGATACAACTGTATATTCATATGATAATGTATATAAAAATAGAACCGGTGACACATTTGGTAATCTAAAAATCCCTACTGGCGATTCTGTTGACTTTATAAGTAGGTATACTTGGCATTCTCTTTCAAAAGAATTTTGATATATTAGCTATACAGCCAATTATTATTAAAACATGTTTCTCGATTTATTATCACAACTTTTAGTCACCTTTTGAACAAAGTCCACTCAAATATTGCACAACTTTATTTAGCCGTGTATGTTTGTATTATTTATTAAGACTCAATAACAGAAATTTCAATACTCAAAAATATGAAAATAAAACTAAAAGAGAAAAACATAAAATGATTATTTGGAAACATCAATAATACATTATTTAATCGTTTATATCGAAATAACAAGTCAAAATAGTCTATTACAATGACCAGGTAAGATCAATCACTACTCAATATACCTATTTAGGAGTTTTGTTCACATCCTCTTGTGTTTTTAGTGAGATATAATTAAAATATATTAACTGATTCCAAACTCTGTATTTGAATTTTCAAATGAAACTTTGCATTTTATTCTACTTTATAAACATACAGCTTTAAAGCTAGCATATTTATTAAAAACTGTTGCATAACTCTGCATTTGATTTTTTTATAGTGTATAAAGCAGTTCTGTAACAAATAGTTGTTGTGAAACGTTAGAAAACAAAATCATAAATACAACTAAGTGAAAGAAACAATTTTAGGTTTTTTTTTTAATTTCTCGAAGAATGAAATAGTAATAAGAAAAGAGTTTTGAAATCTCCATTTCTAAAATAACGTTACCGTATTCTCACTCTCTCACTTGATAACTCGACTTGTATGTCCGAAAGAATAACACGTAACCATATGTTTGTGATAGACCCGTAAGCACTATGGGCAATGGGCAGTCTTGTCTGTACATTGTTGCCGAAAGAAAGTTTATTTTGTAGATGGTCTGGGGAAATATTTCAACGATGTGATTACAAGATTTAAAAGCAGGTTCATATTTTAGATTAAATCAACAGTTTCTTTAATCTCAATTCATAAAAAGTAACATAAAAAATAAGCAGTAGCCCAATTTATTGTATAATTGCTTTCGAGTGTTCGACACGTTCGACAACATTTCAGGTTTGAATGGCCAGAATGATTTTTTTGACGTAATTCGTCTAAATTTCCGGTACATTCATACTTCTTCTTAACGTGCCCTATCAAGTCCCCTTGACGTTGGCGATTAACATGGCGAAACTGTCTCTGTCTCGAGCTATTCTAAATAGTTGCTCAGCTTTCTGTATTCCTCCCTTCTTTATTGTTCATACTTATGTCGGTAAATTTGTTGCTTCACATAACCCCATACGAAAAAGTCCAAAGGTGCAAGATCAGGAAAGCGCGGTGGCATTTTTATGGTACCTTTTGAACTAATAACTATCTGAAAACGTAATGTTTAAAAAATCTAACACCTCCCGTGCTGTAACCAAATTTCATCCATATTATTAGATAATGCTCGAACTGCTGGAATTATGTGAGATCTAGGTATTTACGACGACCCAAAGTGCTCACAATGAAAAAAGGGTCAATTACGTTGTCACCTAAAATACCAGCCCAGACGTTGACTTTTTGACAGTATTGTGTTTTGTATGGAACACTTATGTGCCTATTTTCTGTAGAATACCCTACGGTAACAGTTGGATTGCGATGGCCAGTTAAAGAAAAAGAAGATTCGTCTGTAAACAAGATTTTTTTCATGATATCTTCGTCACGATTAGTGCGTTCCATCACGTCATCAGAAAACTCCATCCGTCGTTCATAATCAGCAGGGAAAATTTCCTGAGCTTTTTGCAATTTGTAGTAGTGGTACTTTGTTTATTTTTAAAATATATATTAAATATTTCTTTAAAATATTTACAGGTCTAGCACTAACACCAGTTTCTCCTGAAATTAGGGTGCTGTTACAAGGAAAATAGATTTCAGCTAGACTACCTACGGCAATTTCACGTCATTCCCGTTCTTCCTTAATTGCACGAGCTGGTTGGTTTTCATCTTCATCACTATCCGTACATTTTCTACAAGTCTTGACACAACCAGTTTTTTCAAATTTAAAAATAATGTGAATTGTAGATTTTGTTGGCCTTCGAAAGAAAACGAAAACCTACCGATTATATCGTCGGCACTATTTTTCAATTAGCTTTGGCGAAGTTATAAGAAGAAATAATACAATTTTTCTTGACTCAGTCAGTTTTTAAGTCTCATTTCGAAGCATTCAGCGTTGATTTCGTGTTTAAGTTTTGTGTCGAACTCAATATTGGTAAGTCGATCCTGCTTTTTAATTAATTGCAATATTAAGAGATCCTTTTTTGCGCATAGAGTGAAGATTCCAAGTTTCACGAGGATTCCTTTTCCTTTTTCTCAATGTTGAGAGAGGGTAAAAATACCTTCTTTTTATCGCCTACATCTGGTAAAGGTCAAGGTGACTTAATAAAGATGATAAAAAAGAGAAAACTCCAATATCTGGGGCATACAATGAGAGGAAGCAGATACAGGATAATGCAGTTAATACTCAACGGAAAGATCGACGGAAGAAGATTAATTGGTAGAAAGAAATACTCATGGCTGCCGAAACCTTCGTCAATGGACTGGCTTATCAGCAGATGAATTATTACATGCCGTGCAAGATCGAGAATGATATCGGCAAATCGTCATGGAAGCTATCCACGTCTCAAACTTGGGCACGGTACTCAAAGAAGAAGACATCTGGAGAACCCACCTGTTTTTCAGCGCTGAAGAAGCCAACGACCAGTTCTTTTCTCTTGGTTTTAACATATGTTCCCTTCAGAGGCCAGTGACTTTTTCATAATGCAAGTGCCATAGATAATTTTTTGTTTTTGTGTGCAGTTGATTTATCTTACTTCACCGAACTTTTTTTTAAAGAATATACATTTTTATGAACTACATTCGTTAATAATTGAGTAAGTGTAGAAATTATGAGCGTTTCCATTTATTGTATTGTATTGAGCGTATTTTTAGATAACCGAAACAAAGCCTATTATTATCCTTTATCGGTTTAAATTGTAGCCGTTTGTAATACTGTAAATAAATAAATAAAATACAATGTCACAGTAACATAAAATCAAAATGTTTCTAATCCTTCGACTGTTACACTCGAAGTAGACTATGTGGACGGAAGCAATCAAATACCTGATTTTAACTTTAATGACTATATTATGTGCCTCACTCCTCATAATCGAATCATATATAAGGCTCACGATAACTCACGTTGTGTCTTAGTTCTTCTTCCTCCATTTTACTTCTTTTCAGTGAAAGTTATAAACCCAAACTTTTTGTAAAATGACAACATGGGTGTAGGTCACACAAATTATATTACATATATGTAAGAAATAGTACGTTGATTTCGATCAATATTTCAAATAAAAATACTTTTACTTACAGTCATGGGTGTAATAACAGTCACTCCTATTAAGTATCCCACGTTGTCTCGTTCGATAATATCATCATAAACTACCATTAGTGGATTAGGGCATGTATCATCCAATAATTTCAAGTTGTTCCTTAAGCTACAAAAAACATTACATAGGCTAAGTATTTATGTTACACCTGCAAGTTGCTTAAACATGTTTAGTTATGTTTTAACATGAGACAAAAAAATAATTGTGTTCAAAAAACATCACAAACTGTGAGGGTCTTAAGCGAAAAAGTATTAGCAAAATTTTGATTTTGCCGCCATTGAAAACTAACGAATAACTCGTTTGTTCTAGCAATATTTAAAAGGTAAAAAACCTGCTATAGTGTATTTTTATGTATGAGAGAGTAATAAAACAATAAATTATGTATGCAAATCCCTAAACTGTTGATACGGGTGACTCAATGAAAAACAGATATTTGTCAACAAGTTTACAGAAGTATATAGGAAAACAATTTTAAATTGAGTATGACCACCAGGTATAAAGGTTGGAGCAGAATAGAATACAATAGTTGTGAGGGTTACTAATTCCTAAATAAGGTTGCCAGTGTCGGAGTGATGGAGGTTAACAGGTACTAATGAATTTGCAAGAAATGTAAGATGTTTATTTTATTGGTTATATATAACCAATAAAAGTTTAATAAGTACCTACCTATTTGCAAAATAAAGTTTAATTCTTTAGATAAAATAAAAGGTTTTATTTTATCTAAAATGAGTGCATTCCACGAAGTAAGGGTTTCAACAATCAAACATTTAATTCTTTAATTCCAGGAATCTACGACAGTAATTGACTAGATAATTACCTTCTAAACTTATTCTACAGAAAATGTGATAGTGGGTTTTTCCATTTTGTAGGAAGGTCCAAGTGGCGTATTCAAAAACAGTTCACTAAAAGTAGGTACTTCAGTTGCAAGGTGCAGTTTATTGTGTATACTAGTGTTATGGAAAATTTGGAAGTGCCGTGTAAACGCCGAAAAATTGGTCCTTTAACAGTTAATGAAAAAACATTAATATTTAATTGTTTTAAATCATTTACAGACAAACGTTTATGTGAAAGTGTTAATGAGACCGTTGAGTTAGTTAGCAGTACACTTGGTGTTGGGAAATCTACGATTTACAGAGTTATTAGAGAAGAGAAATGTGGTAGTTTTCAAATGCCACATAATGCTCCAGGGAAACCAAAATTTCAAATAGAATATCATTTTAAAGAAGGACTTCGACGGAAAGTGCATGAATTCTTCTTTAGACAAGAATTTCCAACATTGGATAAAGTTCTTGTCTCAGTTCGAGATGATAAGGATTACCCAGAAATGAGTCGAAGTACGTTATGGAAACTTTTAAAAGAAATAGGCTTCCGCTGGAAAAAGAATCCCAGAGAGTCTATTTTATTAGAAAGAAGCGATATTGTCATATGGAGAAGACATTTTCTAAGAACCATAAAGGAAATGAGAAACCAAAAAAGAAAAATATTTTATCTTGATGAAACATGGATCAACGAGGGTCATACACCAAATAAATTTTGGCCGGATGAAACTGTTACAAGTCAAAGGCACGCTTTTGTAAATAACTTATCTACTGGTTTAAACCCACCATCAGGAAAGGGACGCATGCTGATAATAATACACATTGGCAGTTCAGACGGTTTTGTTGAAGGTGGTTTATTAACTTTTGAATCAACTCGTACCGGTGACTACCATGAAGACATGAACGCTGATGTCTTTCAAGAATGGTTCAAACAAATGATAGATCTTCTTCCTAAGAACTGTGTAATAGTAATGGATAATACAAGTTATCACTCCAGACTTATAGAAGGACTGCCCACAACCAAGTGGTTAAAAAAAGACTTGCAGAATTGGCTGAGTTCAAAAAATATTACGTACCATCCCGGATCTATAAGAAAGGAACTTTATTCGTTGTGTGCCCTTCATAAAGAAAAATTTAAAAAATACGAAATTGATGAAATTGCCAAAAATCGTGGAATGACAGTACTTAGATCCCCACCATATCATTGTGAATTAAACCCGATTGAACTGGTATGGGCACAGATAAAGAGTGAAGTTTCAAGAAAAAATACCACTTTTAAAATTCATGATGTTAAACAGTTGTTTTTGGAGGCCGTAAATCATGTAATACCTGAAAACTGGGAAAAGGCAGTAAATCACACTATTAAAGAAGAGGAAAAAATGTGGAAGCTGGACAATATTACTGATAAAATGATCGAGCCAGTTATTACAAATCTTGGTTCTGAAAGTTCATCTTCTGAATCTGATTTGGATTTGTAACAAGTAGCTGTAAGTTTTATATTAATATTTTTATTCATCTATTTAACATACCTTAGACGGTTTTAAAAACTCTTTTTCTCTTTTGTAATTTTTAAAAATTAAAAAAAATGTGAATTTTTTAAAACCCTTTTTAATGTAGGCCAGTCAGTTCTAATATAGTGTGTGATAAAAGAGGTCACTTTTGTTTACATACACATAACAATTTATAACACTGAAATAATTCATTTATTTTTTACAATTATTCAAAGTAATTTTTCAATTAATCTTGAGCACGCCCATGGAGTGGTCGGAGGTACCACTTAAAATTATGCTAATTACTCTCTCGTTCATAAAAATAAACTATAACACAGATTTTAACAAGAAATGATTATCCATTCCAAAGGAAACAACAAAACACCAACTAGATCCAGAAATGCTCACAAGAAGGGAGTGAAAAGAACAACAATATTATATGTAAAAGGATTATCAGAAAAATTAAAAAGGATAGGAAATAAATACATCACAATAACATGTAAAACAACCAACATACTGTTACGTAAAAATTAGTCATATTTACAAAAAAACCTGTAAACATGTTGTTTAATTATTATATGTTCTAGATTTGACCTGATGATAGAAATTCCAGGTAGAAACCTACCTGACACGATGTTTTCCCCTCCGATATGAAAGCAGTCGATCTTTCTGGAAACAGGCCGCTATAAAAAACCAGTTCGAGACTATTCAGGTCAACTTCCGTCTACTTCACGAAAGATCCTATGCGACGGCATTTCATATTATTATAAAAACAGGATTTTTATTGTGGGGAATCCAGTCAAAAAGAAGATCGCGATCTCGCGTTAAAATGTAACGGACGTAAATAAATTATTTGTAAATTAGTAGTAAATAAAGACTTTGATAAATTCGTGAGTGTTATAAATACTGAACCTTTAGTAAATTAAAAATAAGAACAATAAATTAGGACTAATAAAATCATTATAATACCGATATCTATTCTTTTCAAAATCAAACCCAACAACACACAAAAGAGTTCAACGAACAACGAAGAACTATTGTATATACATATACAATACCTTGTGGATGCAACAGTTTTTATGATTTACTATATTGGGAATTAATCGCAATTTTAGTAAACCAGAAGTGTTAGTATAAAGAAGCATGAATCATACATTAAAAACACAGGCATTCACAGATCCCAGATATGCACACATGTCTGGGATAATGATCACCGAATACAATGAAACTATGCATCAATAATCATGAAAGAAACATACACCAAAAAGAGGAAAATTAATAAGATAATAAAAGGCCAGAGAAACATCATCTCTAATTAACTATATAAGCACAGAAAGATCAGAATGTGTACGATACAGAATTTCACTCAAGTTATGACTATTTGCCCACAAGATTAAGACGAAAAAAGTCAGCTGTCAAGTTGGTTGCCACCCAGCGCAGATTTATAAAAAAATTGACGTTTTTTCAAACCGCAGATTGCAGTTGCTCAAATTGCAGACTGCAAATTCAAACCGCAGACACAGATCATCAAAGATAATAGTGGAAATACCATAACAAACCCAGACGGTATCGCAGAGGTGTGGAAACAATATTGCGAAATACTGTTCTCTTACAACGGCCCAGACAATAATACAGCGAAAAGAAGTTATAAAAAAGAACCCCAAATATTTGAGGTGGCAATTAAAAAGCTAAAATTCAAAAAGCAGAAGAAGATGGAATAACAGCTGAAACACTCAAAGAAATGGGAGAATTAGGGATGGAAGTAATGCTTAGAATTTGCAATGAGATCTGGAATACTGGAAAGTAACCAAATGACTGGGGTAAACTCACGTTTATTCCCATATATAAAAAAAGGTTCACCGACAGATTGCAGTAATTAAAATACAGTAGCATTGATATCACACGCAAGCAAAGTAGTTCTAACCATCATTAATGAAAGACTAAAATCAAATCTCTTACTACAAATTTCCCAAGAACAATGCGGATTCGTCCCAGGTAGAGGAACAAGAGAACATATTCTTAATATTCGTCAAATTATCGAAAAATCTGGAGAGTTTAACATAGAAACATATTTATGCTTTGTTGACTATTCCAAGGCTTTCGATGTCGTAAAATGGGATAAAATGTGACATATACTTAGAGAAATGGATACGCCAGAACATCTAATCTATTTATTACAAAAAACTATATGTAAATAATACTGCTAATCTAAGAGATAATAATGTGGTTTGCAAAAACTTTAAATTAAAATCTGGAGTTCGATAGGGATGCCTAATATCTCCTATTCTATTCAACATATATAGTGAACATATAATGCGTCAAGTTTTTGAGGAATGGCAAGGTGGAGCAACGATATGGAGAAGAAAAATCAAAAACCTACGTTATGCTGATGACACTTTTATGTTGGCGTCATCACCAGAAAAACTGGAACAAATTTGAACAAGTTTGAAAATAAATACGCACAAAAACAAAGTGATGATCATCTATAGAATCAGAAACAACCAGGCAGGGATAAGAATCATGGCAGGTTACGAAGTGGTCAGGCAAATTAATTATTTAGGCTCCGTTATTACTAACAGTGGATAATGCGAAGACGAGATCCGTAGACGCATCACAATGCCAGATTGGCAACAGCCTAACTCACAAAAATTTGGAAGAACACTGACATCACAAACAACCCAAAAGTACGCCTTGTTCGAGCATTGATATCTCCTATCGCCACCTATGCTTCAGAAACTTGGACAATAAAAAAAGCCTATTCAAAGCGTATAATGGCATTTGAAACGTGGCTCTATCCTAGAATGTTGCGCATACCATGGACTGCCCATCGCACAAATAACTCAATTAACTCCATTCTAGCAGAACTTAACATAAAGACTAGACTCATCACAACTATCAACCAAAAAGACATGGAGCGAATGATAGTTCGAATAAAGGTAGCGTAGCGGGTAAAAGATCCAGAGCAAGATCTCCAGTACGATGGTCGGACCAAATAAAGGAGATGACTGGTTACTCATTCTCCGAAGCAAAACAACACGCAGAGGAGAGAGATAATTGGACAGAAATAGTCAAACAAATTACATGACGCCACTACATCCTTACGAAGGAGAAAATATTGAGATGTTTTTTAATGGCATAGACTAGGTGTCAATCAGCCAGTCACAATATGACTACGAGTCCTAATAACCTCTTACATATTCCATAACAACACCACTTCGTTGTTCTTTTTCGTACAAGTATCGTAATTATGATTGAAAAAATTTATTTGCTAATTGTGGCACTTTATTTTTCTCCATAACTAGACTTTATTTGGTATTTTTTATAATAATTATCTATATTATTTATATTACTAACCTAACCTGTTTAAAGTGTGTAAAGTTTAAAAAATGTCTGTCAGAAAAAATTTGCTGACACTATTTTTTGATGAAAAGTCCGATGGGAAAACCACAAAATTGAAAATGTCAAAGCATTACCTACGTAATACCAACAAACTAACAGTGGGAGATGTTAAAATATACAACTGTGGAAATGGTACGTATTTAACGTATCTTACTTAAATCTCTTAAAGTGTATTTAAAGCTAACTGTAGATCAATTAATCACGAACAAGCTTTTTTAGTAAGTTATTAATGATTAAAATGTTAATATTAATTAAAGTATGAAATTAATAAAACTTTTAATGGATATACTCAGTGTATATAGAAAACCTAAACAGTCAAGCTGGCTCCTACGAGTGAAGCTGCAATAAGGTTTTGAAAAATAGGTTTTTTAGTACAATTTAAATTAATTTGAGCATTACAACAGTCAGAGTTTTCGTTTGTTTCATTTGTAATCTCCAAATCTTCTAATAAGTCCACCTTCAAACAGTTTTTCTTTCTACCAATGTAATGTAAAATAGATGAACCGGTATTGACATTAAAATTATGTTAACTGGACAGTAAATGGTGACCAAAACTTGAAGAGTTTGGTCTGTTCAAATGTTCTGTGATTCTAATAGATAACTTTCGAATGGTCCTACCTACATACGAGGCATCACAATCATCACATTTTAATTTATAAATACCACTTTTGTCAAAAGTGTTCATCCTATCTTTGGTGTTCATTAAAAAGGAATCTAAAGTGTTGTGTGACTTGAAAGATCATTTTGATGTCTTCAATAATTGAAGATTCTACAATTATTGTAGAAGTAAAGTAAATAAAGTAAAATATACGTGTCCAATATAATTTTATTGATTTTTCTGACAACTTCAGCAAATTGGTTCACTTCTAGCGGAGTTAAGGACATTTCATAACTGATGTTTTTAGTTTTTAATAAAGCATTTCATACAAATTAAAACTTCATATTTCAAGTTTCTAATAACACGATTAAAAATTGCACTTTTATATCAGTGTATAACATATTGGAAGAGTGGTAGATGATAATGATTGTTCGCCGTGAATAAAATATACATTTTATGTCAGAAAACTAATAAGAAATTATAGTACTCACCCCGTACAAAATGCTCCTCTGTAGGGATATGCGAAATTCGGACACAAGCCTGTACAAAGTGCGGCCTTAACTAAAGGCCAGGAATTAGAGTTTTGGTTAAATTTCTGGAGATTGCTGGACTGAGGGAAAAATTCAAGTGAACGAATTTCACCGACCAGATTCTTTCTTGTGGTCAGTACAGAATTCATCATTACATGGTTCACGTCGTATTCTCGGCAAAAACTCAATAAAGACCCATTTGCAATCGATTCCTACAATGATAAAAAAATCAAATCATCATTACATTAAATTAGGAATAATCTAAAAATTAGAAATAAAAAAAGTTTTTTTTTATAAAAACAAAAAACTCGGGGATTTACGGGTCATAGGACATTGTATTTTTTAAAATTTGTATAAAAATTCCAACATTTCGAATAAAAAAATTAACTTCCTATATACAGTGTAGGTAAAAGTTTATGGTCGGTATTGTAGAATTTAACAGGATAACTAACAGATATAAAATCATATTTTCAGCGAATAGACAAAGACAACAATCATATTTCCCCTTGGTCTCCCCTCCACATTTCTAATCGATGCCCATTAGTGAGACGATTATTTCCGATCCAGCTTATACCTAAGAAACAGTGGCAATGTTGCATTATTAGATATTTTAATTAAAACGTTAGAAACATTAGAAGAAGAATTAAAACATTGAATTGATTCAAAAAATTGGCGATCAGTGGTGCGGTTATATTGTCATTTGAAACTGGATGATATTAAAAACAAAATGACACAAATACTGGTACAAAATTTCTTAAATCCATGAAACATTTACAGATTCGCATTATTATTTGACGAAATTGTAACCTAGTTTCCAATAAAACAAAATAATTTTGGCAACATAGCCATTCATTCATCCTCTTCAATGGTAAACAGCGTTAAGAGACAGGTTGAACGGTATGCTATGTATTTTAGAGGTGAGTCATGTACGTTTTTATCGTTAACGAAACTGACCCGTTCTTCATAAACAAGATACTTTGATTTTTCATCAGTAGTTTCAAATAAGCGAGTACATAAACAAACATATTGGCTATTCTCGTTTATGTGTATATGTATTGAAGTGAAAGCAACTAACGAAGGATATATTTATTATAACTTGAAAAATGAATATATCCTTCATTAGTTTCTTTCACTTCAATACACATACACACAAATGATAATAGCCAATGTTTGTTTATGTACACTCTTACTTGAAACTACTGTTAAACAATCAACTAGTTGAATAATTTAAGTTACTAGTTACTTGTTTACGAAAAACGGTTCAGTTGCGTTAACGATAAAAACGTCAACGACCCACCTCTACTCGTTACGACAGTATTAGAATCAAAGTATCCTTACTTTGACACCGCGAAGTTGCCAAATAATTTTGTATGAAGATTTTTTATTGTGGCGTCATAATGCAGTTTATTATTTTTATTGGGAATAAGACACAATGTGACTTTAAAATAAGCTTATTTTGATGTTTAGATTTCCAATTGGGAAATCGTACTTAAAATACAAAACATTAATAAATTTTATTTATGGAAATCAAAATGTTAAATTACACTTATTGTAAAGTAAAATTGTGACATATTCCCAATAAAAAACAGTAAGCTACCATTTAAATCAATTCGCCCAAATTTGATTGTCTAGAACATTGTTCAAATGCTAAAAAGACAACAGGTCAAATAAAACCAATAAGTTTGGAAACGTTGAACTTCCTCTCTTTTATTATTTCCACTAATGCATTTTCGACGATATAAAGGGCGACCTAATATACCTCTCTCTTTTTAAAACAGGTGTTTCTCACTCCATCTCACGTAATGTGAGATACCGACCATAAACTTTTACTTATACTGTATGTTTTATACAGTTCTATTGTACACTTATTTTACAATATGTAGCTTAAATTTTTTAATCGTTAAGATTTAATTTGATAAAATAAGCCTTTCTCTTATATTTGGTGACTCCAGAATTCATATAGACTTAATAGTTTACGCATTATAAGGTTGTAGATAAAAACTTTCTGGGATAAACAATTTCAATTTTGCAATAACAGTTAAGTGAAAAGTTATTTTTTGAAAAGTTATTTTCTATGCGTTTTCAGTAAAATTGTGTCACTTTTCCATATAATTTACCGGTCTTCACCTTTAATTTTTGAAATAAAATAGCAATCTTACATTGTTTATAAGTAAAAAATGACGTTTAACATTTTGCATATTTTTATTACATATTGTTATCACCAAATTGATCAAAAACAGGTCTTAGATACCTATATCAAAGAGTTTCAAGAAAAAGGCTTTTTATTTACTAATTTCTCTGGTCTACAGCATCGTAAGGCACAGCAAGGAACAATATAAATAAAGAAAAGAGACGCATACTGAAGGGGATAAATACCCAATTGTGGTGTCGAAGTCGGAAATTATAACGAACATAACTAAAGAAAATGAAAAAATTATTAAACCAAAAACTAGAAGTCGGAAAAATAGTTGTTAATGTTTACATTTAAATATAGTCAAGACAAAATTAGAGAGTGATAATACATTGACAACTAGAACAAGGCTAAACATATGTAGTACCATGAATTCTCCTTGTAAAGAACTATCAAAATTTTTATTAAATATTATACATCCATTTGCAAATAAAAATGACACATTTATAAAAAATACACATTTTTTAAATAAATTATCAAATATTGAATTTAATTCAAATAATACTTTGGTAAGTTTTGACGTAAATTGTTTATTTACGAATGTGCCATTAGATAAGACTTCAAATATAGTCAAGACAAAATTAGAGAGTGATGATTCATTGGCAACTAGAACAAGACTAAACATATCGGCTATAATGGAGTTATTAACATTGTGTACTGATAATACATATTTCAACTAAATAATGAATTCTATAAACAAAATTTTGGTATAGCGTTCGGCTTTAGTTAATTTCCATTATTAGCCGATATATTTATGGAAGATTTTGAAACAAATATATATCTAAACAAAATTTAAAACACACAGTATAGTGGAGATATGTAGATGATGTAATCTCAATATGGCGTCATAGATCAGAGTTGTTGGACACATTCCTGAATGATATAAATGATAAAGAAGAGACAATACCAATTACCATGGAAAAGGCATATAATAACACACTACCTTTTCAGGATGTTTTAATCTCTAAGAACGATACTGGATATGAGACTCAGGTGTATAGAAAACCAACAGATATTTAAATTTCAAATCAAATCACAATATTAATATTAAAAAGGAAATCATTAAATCCTTATACGATAGAGCCAAAATTGCTTGTTCTAACGAAAATTCGTTCTTGGAGGAAAAACATTTGTTAACATCTGTTTTATTAAAAAATGATTATCCTTTATCTTTTATAAATAAGGAATTTTCAACAATCGACCGAATAGAACAGAACAAATTAGAACGAGGTCCTACAGCATACACAAAGAATAATACGAGGAAAATACCATACATAAAAGCATTATCAGAAAAACTTAAAAGGATAGGAAATAAATTCAACATTTCCACAACATTCAAAACAACAAACACATTGAGATCTATTTTGTCTAAAACCAAACCTAACAATGAACAAGTAAGAACAATGAATTGTATTTATAAAATACCTTGTGAATGCGATCAGTTTTATTTAGGTGAAACATCAAGGCCATTAAATGTTAGAATAAGTGAACATCAATTTTATATTAAAAATAGAGAATTTGATAGATCTCAAATACGTAAACACGCATGGGATAATGAACATATTGTTCAATGGAATGATTCAAATATAGTCCTAAAAGAAACGGATGGTAAAAAGAGAAAAATCAAAGAAGCGGCTCTAATTATGCTAAATGAAACCAATTGTGTCGCAAATTCCTCGGCAGAATGTAGTAGGATCTGGTTACCCATATTAAAAGAGGAAGTTATTAAAAGTAAAATACCAGTATTAGTCACTAACATATAGAGGATACATCATTTATGTTTTTTAAATAACAAATATATAAAATCAGAATTTGGTGTTTATTGAAAGTAAACTAAATGCACGACCAAATATTTACCATGTCGGGATAATATTATGAGGTTTTTTTCCTGGTTTTTCCCTCATAATTTACTATGGAATCACTAACAGGAGAATTTTTCGTCTTTTTCAAGACGAATTACATGCTATGATTTTTTCTGACGGATATTCTCAAGTTAAAGATAATTTCATGTAATCGAATGAACTATCTTAAAAATAAAGTCGTCCCAGGAACGCAACTCAACAATATTGGCAATATCATTTTAAAGTCGTCTACTATAAAATGTATAATGTATGTCCGATTTGTCAACATTAATGAGTCAGATAAAATTAAATTATTAGAAAAACTTTTCACCAAGTAACAAAAAAACACAATTTGATTAATTTACTAATAAAAAAAAACAAGGTTGGAAAAAAGAGGTTAGTTTTCGTAAATGGGTATATTTATTTAAATTTCTTTTAATTTACTAATATTATTACTATTATTATTATTACTAATATTATACTAATATTATTTTTTTAATTTAATAATATTTGGAACGATTTCCGAAGTGGACACCGACAAATTGAAACGTCAATAAACTTAATTTAACCTTTAATTATGGCTTATTCCCATTTAAATTGTAAATGTTAGATGGATTTTCGATCCTTAAAGGAAATCGGAAAAGTCTGCTGATAGAAAAAGATGAAACTTTTTTAAGACAGAAACGGTTTCTGGAGGCAATACATGAATATAGCAGAGTATGAAGAAACATATTATAACGATAAAAATTGATTAAAATAAAGATACACGTACCCGAGTATATGCCAGAACATGAAGTTAAAACTATACCCCTGTGTTGTGAGTCATAAAACCGCCATCACTATGGATAACATCCTTTCTATATACACTGTATAGTGGCCGAAACAGAAACATTGTGAGATTACAAAACAGTAGATATATTAAATATGGCACATATTTCAATTATTATAGTTTTAAGAAAATCTTATCTATTTAATCGTCATAAAAATTCATTCTGGATCTTACCTGCCATTTTCTGAAAATTTCAACATAAAATAGGTGAGAGCTCATGTAACCTTCCACCAATTTCTTTCGGTTTTCTTTTATAAAATCTACTTCATGGGAATACCATTGCAGCAAATATCTAGAAACATTTATATTATTAAAAATTGTAAACAAGATCACTATTATCGTCAACAAATAGACGAGGCAATGCGACAAAAATGTAGCGTTGTAATTTTATGTGTAGTTAAAAAATGATCCCTTATAGGTTCATGTTTAATTCTCGTTTTGTAGTGATAAGGTAATAATTGAAATAAAAAGAGAAAACATATGGCGAAATCGAATTCAAATTTTTACCACTGTGCTTTCTAAAACTTGCAAAGCAAACAGCTTGATAAGTTACTCGGCAAGGGAATCTAAAATTGCATTCCACATGCCATTCATCATGGTCAAAATTCGTAGTGAATTCAATTTCTGGTACTCCAAACGGAGTAAAGAAATAAAACATAATGACGGTACTAGATTTTTGTTTCGATACAGAGCAGCGACAAGCCGCTTAAGGTTTGTCGCTGCTCTGTATCGAAACAAAAATCTAGTATCGTTATTATGTTTTAATAATTGAAATGTCCGAATGTTTAACATTTGTTTTCTTTTGTTCGTGACTTCATTATTCCAAGCTGGCAAATTCGGTCCAGTCCATTACTTTATTTGATTTATTAGAAAAAAAAAACTAATTTTAGAATTAATATTTTTAGCTGGTTACTTATTTCTTAACTACACAAATGGTGAAACTGATGACCTCAGCCGTCCATACAAAGTTTGATTCAAAAAGCATTTGCGGATTAATTCGTAGGCATTCTTTGACGTAAATCTAAAGGTACGGATAACAGATTTTACTTTTTTCCCCACAAAAAAATCCAGGAGAGATAAATCTGGTGACCGAGAAGGCCATTCGAGGCTTAGCCGATCCAATAAAGTAGTAAATGATCTGTGACCGTGGAATATTGACGAACATTATATTCATTATATTGTTGTATCTCGCTCACTGATTATTTCTCAAAATTTTAAACGGCAGGGCGGTCATAATCATTCCCATTAAGTCCCTGCAACTTGCCTCATACTTGCCCCATAAGTTGTAGTTAACAGGGAATCTAGATGAACATGTAATAGTGCAACTTCACTAGGTTATTTACCTACAGGCCTTTCAGTTCTCGTTTTTATTACCTACAGCTTTTATTCCCAGCTTCCTGAAATTTTTTTACTAACTCTAAAACATACTTCCTACTGTCGTATTTATCTTGATGGGGTTCATTAAACTCCTGAGCTGTCATATTGGCATATTTATTGTTCATAAAATACAACGAAACGCTATCTACCCTTTCCGGAATGGAATAAACCATGGTAATCAATTTTCAAAGACTACAAATTAATGCGTACAACTGATATTCACCAGAGAATCCTTTAATTTCATGTTCTTTATGTGTTTATATCATAGCATTTACTTAGTATGTATGACAAATATAACAAAAAACAAAAGCTGGACAAAAAAATAAATTAAAATCTAAAATACTGGCGTAATAAATCAACTAATTAAGCAGGTATATACAATTTAAAAAGTTTAAATAAATAAAGTTGTAAATAATGTACAAGGAATTAACTGGCTTAGAGGTGAAACTAAAATAATCGAAAATCAAAAATTTACCTGTGACTGGGTTATTCAAAAAATGTTGTCATAGTTCATAATGCATATATATATATATATATATATATATATATATATATATATATATATATATATATATATATATATATACAAAACATCCAGACTGACGAGGACGAGAACATAATTATGTGCTAACACAGTTCTGTTAAACGTCTAAAATTCTTTCCAAGTTGTCGAGTTGTTCGTACGTGTTGTCTTGCCAGATAATTATGTTCTCGTCAGTCTCAATGTGGTCTCCCTCTTCAGTAATGTTTACTTAAACGCCGTTCTACGGTCTATACATAAACACTGGGATAAAATTTCTGCAGTATGTAGCATTGATTATGGTATGTTTATTGAGATGATAGTTCTTGTTTAATTCCACTTGTTTCTCTTTTAAGAACAAATATTATAAACAATTTTTTGGCACTCCTGTGGGTGCCAGTATCTCCCCAAATTCTGGCTACATATGTAATGGACGATCTGTTGGATATTGTTCCCCAGGTTGTTCCTTTTATTAAAAAGTATGTTGATGACATTATTATGTCCTGTCCACTAGGTTTAGAGACTGAGCTCTTAGACATATTCAATAGCTATGACCCCCACATTCAATTTATTCTTTAAAAAGAGGATCAAACCTAATCTGTTCCTTTTCTTGATACAATGTTCACTAGAGAACTGGATAACATCATTACAATTGATTGGTATAGAAACACTTGTAACTGTGGTAGATACCTCAACTATCATTCTTACCACAAGTCAAACATAAAAGTTAATCAAATGACCACAAGAGTTTATAAACTAGCTGACCCTGTTTTTAAAAAGAAGAATCTCAACATCCTTTTACAATTGTTCCTAGATAATTCTAACTCCGAATCCTTACTCAGAAAAATCATCTTCAATACATCCTCTATTATAATTAACACACAAGAGAACCCTCCCCAAAATATAAGTGCTATGAAAGTTCGGTTCCCATTCTCGGACTAACAATATTCCTAAAATCTCTTTTGTATCATTTCCATTTATTAAGGATGTCACTCCCAAATTGACTATAATTTTTGGTCAATACAGTATGCAAGGAGAACAGCGAAAAAAATTTATCAGCTTCATAGAGATAAGCAATTTCATTATTCAAGATCTCCCGATTTAACTCTCCTGGACTTCTTCCTATAGGGTTATTTAAAAAGCATGATTTATAATACCATTCCTGCTTTATTGAAAGAAGTAAGACGACGAATAGAGCATGAATGTAGTCTAGTAAAGCGTAAAATGCTCCAAAATGTTCTTCGTAATTTCAGCGAATAACAGCGACTTTATAATTGTATGGACGTTGCTGGATATCATTTTGAACATATATTAAATAATCATAGCTGATGAGTAAACTGTTTTGAATTATGAATTTATTTATTTAAAATTTAGTTCATTCTATTTACGGTTAATTTAATAAAGTTTCCTATTCATGGTGCAAATTTCATTTTAAAGTAATTTTTGACAGGACGGGAAATATAGGCATTATGTTTAGATTTTATAGAGGTATAACACATTCAAGAAACTGCTAGTTTTTCACATAAAATAGAGATACTATGGAAAAACATCATAGATACTTGAATTCTTCAGCGAAATAGCTTTCTACATCATATATTAATGTTAAGATTATAAAAAACTCACACCAGAGTATGTATTTAACAATTTGTAGATAAAGATATACTTACTTTCGAGACAAAAATGCTGCTATAGTAAGAATAGGGTCGGCGCATCTAAATACTATCGAGGATATTATCATTTTTCCTATACGAGGTTCCATGCTGAGTCCTCTCAAATGAGTTCCGAGGATTGTTAGATTTTCCTTTTCGTCTAAAGCTCCCATAAGTTGTAGTTTTTCTATCGCCTTACCAATCAGCGAACTTGATGGTGCTGTTATTAATGACGAGAGGAATTTCTGTATCCTTGGGATATCAGGGGCCCACATTTTAGTTTGTAGACACAGTTCCTAAAAAAGGCAAAAAATGAATATAACTTTCCATGAGTTTAATAATTCTGACTCGAATTCTGGAATTGAATACTGACTCTCCATTTGCTTTCCGAACTGGATGGAAGTAAGATTAAGTAATTTTTGAAGTGAGTACTTCTTATCGCTCGGTATGATTCCAAGGGCTCAAAATAATATTTAGCATGACTCGAAAAATCTAGACAGAGTGCAGTAACCTTGCCGTATGCAGTAATATACATAATATATACACATATACACTTATTCCAGAAATAAAATGACGTTTAACAAACGTCATTTTATTTTTTTTATAACTTTTTATAAAAACTCGAGAATAACTGTTCGATTTGCCTAATTTTGATTTTAAAATATTTGTATAAAATACAATAAATTAAAATAAAATAAACCAAATTAAGTTAAAAATGAAATACAATAAATTAAATTAAAAAAAAAGCTTGGGGAGTGCCCACAGAAGTGCATACTTCTTATAGCCTATTATTACTATATGTAGGGTAAAGAAATTTCAAGTCCGTTTATTAATTAATTGTTAATATTTTTTTATAATAACACTACAAATTTAAGTTCTTTAAAATTTTAAAAATCTTAATTTTTTCTTTAAAAATTTTGTTAATGATTTTAGTAATTTTCAACATTTGTTAAATAATATAAAATTATTCCATTTTGATTATCATTATATTCTATAAACAGTCATAAATATTGGGAGGGTATACTAATTAATTTTCATTGAAAACTTTTCATTTGTTAATATCTGTCTATTTATATCTATCTGTAAACGGCCCCCACAATTTCTAAAATAAACTTTCGTTTATTTTGATTATTTTTTGAAATATTATTTAATTTTATTTAATTTTTTATAATTTTTTATAATTTTATATAATTTTTTTATACTTTTTATTTTTATATTTTATTATATAAATAATTATTATATTTTTATATATACTTATAATTATATATATTTATATATATATATATATATATATATATATATATATGTATATATATATATATATATATATATATATATATATATAATTATTACAATATTTTATAATTTTTTATATTTTTTTAATTGTTATTTGATTTTATTTAATTTATTTTAATATTATTTACTTTTAATTAATTTGATTTAACTTTTATAATTTTATACAATTTTATTTCATATATTTTATTTTATTTAATACAAATATTTTAAAATCAAAATTAGCCGTTCTCGGGTTGTTAGCCAAAATATATTATATAAAAATATAATAAGTGTATATGTATGTATATTATGTGTAATTATGGTACCCCGCAAGGTTACTATAAGTCCGTTAAAATATTCGATAGGTATTATTCACTTCGATAAAAAAATAATATATTAAATTCAAGCCCATCGCTCCGTGCATAGACGATAAGTGATTCCCCTTCTCGGTCACTCCCGGAGTGCCACATTCCGTTTTTTGTTTTATTTTTATCCATTATAATGAAATATAATGATCATTAAAATAAAGCAATTAAACACAAATACAAGATAATAATAAAAATGTAAATGATGAATTTTGAAATTTGAAAGCATGGAAAGATTTGTTAAATACCGTTCAAGAAATAAGTCATATTTTGAACACCAAATTTTTTAGGGATAGTTTAATCATTATAAATCTGAATAATCTAATTATTATTATTACTTTACTTATTATTATTACTTACTTGTAGACAATCAAATGTAATTTGCTCCCTATTGATCGTGGCCATTGTTTTAAATGTTTGTCTAGTATATAAGCGATAGCAACATCCACTACTATCGCTGACTAATTTCGATCTCAACACGGCACAAGATTGTGTTATCCATTGGGTCTATAATAAGAAGACACTAAGTAAGTAATTTTTCTTACAAATATTTAGAAAAAAAGTGGAAAAAGTGTATGTGAAAGACAAGAATGAAATGCATTTATTTTTGCTGAATAAAAAAACAGACACCTGAATTTTTATTATTTGCAATTGATGGGAATTTCATAAATAAAAGAAAATGTTAAAAAAGACAAAGCATTATTGTACATATTAGCAGAAAAGTATTGACTACCACTATAACATTTGCTAACAACATGACTTTTTGCAATTATTTTTAGGATAAATCCTAAATTACAGACAATATAAAAAAATTCTTAAAAAATCTATTCTTAAATTCGAGAAGAAAATATTGAATGGGAAGTTATAGTGAAATATTTAGATTTTACTTTTGCCATAAATTTCACGCAATACATACACTAGTGGCCAAAATTATCGTGGAAACTACAAAAATTATCGTTTTTTTTAGCAAGACTCGTCTCATGATCATGATTTATATAGTTTACCATTACAATTACATTTTTATTTTATTGTTTTATATTCCTGCTTAATATTTTATGTATTTCTCACTCTTTTTTTATTAACATCATTATTTAATAAAACATGGAACCAGATTCAAGCGAAACGCCGAAAATCCGAGATTTGTGAATGGGAACATTGGCAATACTGTATTACGTCAGCGTTTTGCTAGTCAGTCAACAACCCAACTGGAAGCGGTTAGGTGACCATTAGTACAGTTTCGTGTGGTTTCCAGTGTTTATTAGTGACATTAGGTAGTTGATACTAAGGTGATATTGTTTAATTCTCGGACAGGAATTCATCAGCGTCGATTCAACGAAAATGGCAACCAGAAACCCAAAACGTGTTAACTGGTCGCCAGGAAAGAGAGCCAAAGCAATTATCCTTCGAGAAGAAGGTTACACTTATCAAGAAATAGCAAACAAATTGGATGGTGGCGCCACAAAATCAGGCGTAATGAAAGTTTGCAAACGTGGAACGACAAAATCAGCAAAAAGATCTGGCAGAAAACCCAAAGTTAGACACTACGACGTGCGTAGAATATGCCGACTTTCTTTAGAAGATCGTCGCAGATCCGTAAAAGATATTAACGGTATTGTCAAATCAATTGGATTACAAATATCGGACCGCACTATCAGCAGAAAGTTGTGTGAAAATGGATTGCGAGCACGAATTCCTAGAAAGAAGCCATTCCTGAACAAAAAACAAAGGCAAAAACGCATTGATTGGGCTTTGGTACACAGAGGGTGGACAGAAGAACGATGGAATAAAGTAATTTGGAGTGATGAAACCAAAATCTCGGCCTTTGGGATCTTTGACGGAGTGAAGTTTATTCGCCGCCGACCGAGAGAAGACCTTTCGCCCCAGTGTACTACGGTCACTATGAAGCTTCCTGTGAGTGTCATGGTTTGGGCTTGCATGACCACTAATGGAGTTGGACGTTTAGCAGTAATAGAGGGCAAGATTAATGCAAAAAAATATCTAATAATAAGAGATACTGCCAACCCAAACTGCTGCCGACTATCAGAGATTTGTTCTAAGGGGATGCCCAAAAATGCATCTTTTAGTAGGATGGAGCGCTTTGTCATACGGCTAAGGGCGAGCGCCCACCAAAGTGGCGTGGCAGTGGCAAGTAGCAAGTAGCACGCGTCTAGCATAATGTAACCAATGAAAACGAATGATTCAGTTTATCCCAAAATGACAGTAACGTCATTCATTCTAATCATTCGTTAGGATTGGTTACATTATGCTAGACGCGTGCTACTTGCTACTTGCCACTGCCACGCCACTTTGGTGTGCGCTCGCCCTAAGACTTACATCGAATGGTTGAGAAACCATGATGTTACTTTTCTGCCTTGGCCTGGAAATTGTCCCGATGTAAATCCAATAGAAAATTTATGGTCAAGGCTGAAAGTCTTAGTATCACGCCGAAACCCAAGCAACAAGACAGAACTGATAGAAGCCATTATTCAAAACTGGTTTAGAGTTATTACACCAGAAGATTTGGCTCGTCTCGTCAATTCCATGCCTCGCAGAATTGAGTCTGTCCTAAAAAACAAAGGTTATCCTACCAAATACTAAGTTTGTTGATAATAATCATTGTACCATTTTTTTTTTAAATATATCTACTAATAGCTAACGGCTGATGTTTTATTTATTTTTAAATTTTTAGAGGATTTCCCTGTCACATGTAAGCATGTGAAGTGACCATTAATAAGAAGGTTTTGAACAGTGTGTGTCTATCAGTGTCAACGGGGACATCCGCGTTCCTTGACAACGTCACTCCACATGCTATGAGGCGAGGTGCAACGATATAACCTAGGAATAATAATATGTAACGTTCTGATAATATAACGAAATAAAGTAATACAACTACAGTCATCTATACTTGTTTTATTACATGTAACATGGTGTCAGGTTAGTTGGAGGAACCTTGACCAAGGAAATTAAGTCTACACTGCTGAAAGTAAACTGAAGTTTGTACAAAATGGAGGCAATATTTACAGCACCCAAGGCCCTAGTATTCAACCAGGATGTCCACAGTAATTTAACGACTTTCCTGGAAGGCTTAGAAATATATTTAAAAGCTACGGGGCTGGACAAGAAAGACGATGAGGTTAAGGTGGCTATCTTGTTAAACATTGCTGGGCAAGAAGCTCAAAAGAAATTTAAAAATTTCAGTTTAAGTGAGGAAGACAAAAAAAAGTTTGAGGTGGTTGTAAATGCATTTAGAGAGTATTGTGCACTTTTAAGAAATGAGACATATGATCGTTATAAGTTCTTTACACGAAGACAACAGGAAGGTGAAACATTTGAAGATTTTTTAACAAATATAAAAGAACTGGCAAGCCTATGTAATTTTGGGTTACTACAAGATTCACTCATCAGAGACCGAATTGTTAGTGGCATACTAGACGTCACACTTCAAGAAAGATTGTTGCAGTGTTCGAAATTGGACCTAAGAAAAGCAGAAAATATGTGTAGAACAGCTGAAGTAAGCAGAATCCAAGTCAAAGAAATACAGAATGAAAAGGAAGTTGATATAATTAGGTGAACAAGTTCAAAGGTAAGAGTAGGTTAAATATGGTCAAACAGGAGGCTAAAAATGATTTTGATTGTTTTAAATGTGGACGGACACATGGACCTAGGAGCTGTCCAGCATATGGGAAATTATGTTCTTTATGTAATAATCCAAATCATTTTGCAGTAGGGTGTAAGAATAGAGGAAACTCCAGTGGAACGCAATATAAAAATATAAGTAGGTTTAACAATAAAACTAATAGGTTCCATAAGAAAGGCAATGTACTTGAACTTGAGTATGAAAATAGTAGCAATGATAGTGACGATTTGACAGTTGAATCAATAGTTTTAGACAACATAAACTCAAATAGCCTCTCAAGTAAGTGTTGGAAAGTAGATTTATTAATTAACGATAAAAATGTCACGTTTAAATTAGATACTGGAGCCAATTGTAATTGTCTACCGTTAAAATTTTTCAATAGTTTAGGCTGTCAGGTACGAGTTTTAAAAGATAGTGTATCACTTATAACTTATGGAAATAACAGAATTGACACATGTGGATCTGTATTATTAAAATGTTTTGTTAATGGAACTAGGTACAACATTAAGTTTCTTTAGTTAATACTAATAGTACACCAATTTTAGGTCTTAATGCATGTAAAAAATTAAATTTGGTTCAGAGAGTTGACTTCATCAATAGTAAAAGTAAAGATGAATTTGTAAACAATAACAAAAATGTATTTGAGGGACAGGTAAGATACCATTTGATTACAAAATCGTGTTGAAGAAGAGTTATGAGCCATTTGTTGGCTGTTGTAGAAGAGTGCCGACACTGTAAAGGTTGCCTTAAAAGCGTCTTTACTTGATCTTGAGAAAAGAGATATCATAATGAGGGTTGAAGAACCTACTGAATGGGTAAACAACATAGTATTAGTTGAGAAATCCAATCATAAAATAAGAATTTGCTTGGACCCAGTTCACTTAAACAAATTTGTTTGTAACGATCAATATCCAATACCCACTGTAGATGAAGTAGCATTGAAACTGAAGGGTAAGTCAATTTTTACAGTGCTTGACCTGAAGTAGGGGTTCTATCATGTTCCACTACATGAGGATAGTATGAAAATTTGTACTTTTACAACTCCTTTTGGCAAATATTGCTTTAAATGATTGCCATTTGGTCTTAGCGTTAGTCCCGAAGTGTTTCAGAGGATGAATGAAAAAATGTTTGGAGATCTTGAAATAGGAATATATTTTGATGATATTATAATTGCTGCAGAGACAGAGGAGGAACATGATAGAATTCTTCAGAAGGTTTTAAATAGAGCTACAAAATATGGAGTTAAATTTAATAGGGATAAAATTCAATTCAAAGTAAGTGAAGTTAAGTATATTGGACAATATTTTTTTCTAAAAGTGGTATTAAACCAGATCCTCAGTACATAGAAGCAATTTTGAGCTTAGAAAATCCAAAGTCAAAAAAAGATCTTCTCAGAATAATGGGCATGCTAAACTACTTAACTAAGTATATCCCCAACCTTTCAGAATTTATGACTCCATTAAGACGATTAATAAAGAAAGACACTTTGTTTGATTGGACAGTTGATCACACCATACCCTTTGATAAAATTAAAGCATTAGTTACATCAATACCTAACCTCAAAATATTTGATCCACAGGTACCAATTGAAATACAAGGTGACAGTAGTCAGTTCGGCATTGGTGGGTGTTTGTTACAAGATGGCCAACCAGTAGCGTTTTGTTCTAGAGGGCTTACAAAGATTGAGGTTAGGTATCCACAAATTGATAAAGAACTTCTTGCCATTTGTTTTTCAGTACAGAAATTTTAATAAAAACCGACCATAAACCTTTAGTTTCAATCTGCAGTAAAGATTTCCATAAAGTAAGTAGTCGCTTACAAAGGCTTAAGCTCAAATTATTAAAATATACTTTCAAAATTGAATATTAAC